CGGCGTCGTGGGCGCATCCGCGCTCACGCTCCTCTGCGTGCTCTCCGTCCGACCCCTCCGCGCAAGAGCATACGAATATTTCCTTTGGCTCCACCTGGGGCTGGGCGCGCTGGCGCTGGCGGGGGCGTGGGTACATGCTGGGGAGTTTGGGTGCGCGAATTCCACTTTATATACGTATATCCAATTGAAGGAAGTTAATCGGACGCCAACAGATACGCCAGCTACATATGGCCCGCAGTCTTTTTGTGGGCGCTCGACCGCGCGCTGCGCGGGGTAAGGATTGGGTTGGTCAATTCGGGGTTGTTTCCGGGTTTCCTTAACGTCAACTCGGTAGTACGTCCTGTCCTTTTTTCCTTCCTTCCCCACCTCTTTTCCCTCCCCTGCGACCTCTTTTTCTTCTCCGACTGAGTAGCTGACGGAGCGTTTCAGGCCCGCGACAGTGACAGCAAGAGTAGCCTAACGACAACAGCGCACATAACCCTCCTCCCCCCACACGCGCACTTCCTCCGAATCACCCTCCCCCGCGCGCCGCCGCGCTTCCGCTGGCGCGCGGGGCAGAGCGCGTATATCACCTTCCCCTCGCTGTATATGGGCTCGGTGACGGAGGCGCATCCGTTTACGATCGCGAATCCGCCTCCGCCTCGGGGGGAAGAAGGGAGGGAAGGGGAAGAAGGAGGGAGGGAGCTGGTGTTCATACTGCGGGTAAGGACGGGGTTTACGGGGAGGTTGAGGGAGGCGGTGTTGGCTTCCTCTGCCTTTGCGTCCTCGCCCTCCTCCGGCGTATCGTCAATCGAGGGCGCGTCGTCGGCGTCTATCGAGGGTAACAAGGATGCAGGGAAAGAGCCGACACTGGAAGCCCGCGCACTCATAGACGGCCCCTACGGCGCCCCGCCGGACGTGCGCGGGTATGAAAGGGTCGTGTTCGTTTGTGGTGCGTCCCTTTGCTTCTCCTCCCCCCCCCTTTGTTTGCGTTGTTAATCACCGTTTTAAGGCGGCTCCGGCGTCTCCTTCGCCCTCCCGCTCTTCCTCTCGCTCGTTGGGTGCGTCCTTTCCCCTGCCTTCCTTCTCCTCGTATGCACTGAAATTAATGACTTGTGGGGTGGCGTTGTAGTGCAGCGCGCACGAAGAACCCGCGCTGTCGCCGCGTCGTGTTCGTTTGGGCGATAAGGGAGCCTGGTGCGTTCTTGCCCTTCTTTCCTATCTCCCCCTGGCATTCTCCGTATTATTCGTTCCTTCCGTCCAATTGCGCCGTATTCCTCCTATTCCCCGTTCCCCTCGACCCGCGCCCTCCCTCCCTGCCTGACTCGGATCACAACCTTTACTCACCCTACGCCAACGCCCACAGACCAGATAACATGGATCGCAGACGCGCTCCTCGCCGCGCTCCCCCCTACAAACAATATGGGCGACGATCGCGAGCTAGAAATCGAAATCCGCCTCCACGTCACCTCCGCGCCCGAGGACACGCAGGCGCTCGACGATGACGACTCGTTGGACGACGAGTCTGCGCTCGAGAAGGCGGTGGTGGCTGAACAGGTTGAGGCCGACGCGGTTACGGACGCCACTGTGACGGACGAAAAGGCCGCGCCCGTCCTGCAAAACCAAAATCAAAACGGCGCCACGAAGGCTGGCAAAGTAGATTCAGCGAAGACCCGCCTCCTCGCGCACCCCTCCGTCCACCTCGTCCACGGGCGGCCGGACCTCGGCGCCATACTGGGTGGGGAGATCACGAGTGAGGCGAGGGGCGCGGTGGGGGTTTGTGGTGCGTTTGCGTCCTATTCTGTTCGCGTTTCTCTCCCCGTTTCTTTCTTCCTTTGCCTCCTCCCTCTCGCTTCACGCATCTCTTTCTCCTCCTCTTTTTCGTTATCGGTTGCCCGGTTGAACGAAGGAATATTGACGTTTCACAGTATGCGGCACCGCCGAACTTGCAGACGGCGTCCGAAAGGCACTACGGGCCGGCATGTGGGCGCGGTTTCTGGACGTGTTACGTGGGGGGCCGAGTGTCGTTCTGCATGTGGAGGGGTTTGGGAGTGGTTGATTTGAGGCGAGGGTTGGAGATAGATACAAGTTTTTCCGGAATTTACATAGTTCGTTTTGACTGCATACAATTTGAGTTGGGAGTTGGATAGCCTGGAGCTCGAGCCCGCTGATAAGTTAGTCTCGAGTTTCTAACAATTGAGCAATGAACGGGTGGGGAAATCACGACGCCTTCGAGTCCACGATAGGACCCATTTGCAGTAGTGACCCCAAGTTGAACAACGCCGAGGAGCCCGATTTATTTCCCACGGTTCAACTTATCCGTTTTCAAATTCTACAGCGCAGCCCCGCGTATCCTCGGAGCGGAATTTGGGGACAGTGTTCAAACTGAATGCGCTCCCGACTTCGTATAAGGCCGACTGAAGCAGTTCGCTCGACCGGGCTTACATTGATCGAGCAATTTGAAAAGGCGACGAGCTTTCGGTGAGAGGCGGCGAACTTGAAGTTGCACGCCGCACATCCGACGAGGTGATGAGGCGTGCGGGCGGCGTGGGTGGAGTCTCCGCTGCTGGCTTCGCAAAAGTGGGGGAGCGATTCCCGAACCCACTACGAATAAAGATAGATTAGTGAATCTTGCCCGGGATCCGAGACGCCACCCGAAGTGGTGTAGGGGTCAACCTGTTCAACGCCAAAGAAAGATGATAATACGTGTGGGGTTAAATGACACGTATATTATGGCGTTCAAACTGGTATATGGGAGGCATGTTAACTTTTTGAGCAATCGAGCTAAGATCCCGAATTGGTGCAGGGGTTAACGTTGCCGCCGTCGGACCCGACCCGAATTGGTGTAGGGGTCAAAATTTCAAGTGGTTTAAATTTCGTCCGGGTGTCCGAATTGGTGCGGGGGTTAAAATTGCCGCTGCGTGATGGACCCGAATTGGTGTAGGGGTTAAAATTCCTGAGTGGTGGAAATTTCGTCCGGGTGTCCGAATTGGTGCGGGGGTTAGAATTGCCGCCGCGTGATCGAGCCGAATTGGTGTAGGGGTTACAATTTCTGAGTGGTTGAAATTTTGTCCGGGCGGGTCGGCAGGGGGTTTGGATGAGTCCGTGTGAAGTATGCATGCATACACGCATCCATCGCAGGCAGGGCTACTTACCTGATGGATATAGCTTCAATTGAGCTGATAACGAGACAATCTCAACCAAGTCGAAAGTCAACTTCTGAGTGGCAGGCACCGACTCGGACTGTTCAAGGATACATACCTACATATTGGTGGTATCCCATCGCTTGCGTCAATATCGGGTGGGAGAGTTGATATTCGAGTTTCTATTTGTTTGAATTGTGCTCCGAGTCGGCGCAGGCTTGGTTGAAATTAGCCCTCGCCAAGGATTGCCCCAGTAACTCCGAGGGCCACGTGGGGACTTTTTTTAAAAAGGCAGGAGTGCTCTAGAACAGACATGGACTGTACACTTGAAAGAAAGGAAGAAAGAGGTGCATCGCCTTGTCACGGCAGCGGAAAAGCTGGGTATGACAACACCCGAATTGGTGTAGCGGTCAAAATATCTGAGCAATTTGGCACTGGGGTTAGGGAACTTAGGAAGAGGATTCCGAACACACAAGTGCCATACTGGACAAGTAAATCTCTTGAATACTTACCGATGGTTCAAGTTTGCCCCATCTTGACCTTCAACGAAGATTGACCAAGCGGGGGTTATGAGCAAGTCCCCTGCTCAATGAGCAACGTCGTAGGCATCATCGGCAGACACAAGAGCTGCATGTAAACCTGCCAACCTGAGTCGGACTTGAGAGCTTGTCAAGAGTGGAATGATCGTGTTGAACTTCCTGGTTTAACATGAAAGATATTCCTTCGGGAAGGACTTTGGACATTCTGGTCAAAGTAGGCCTCAGCAGGCTTGTTCGCAGGCCGGTCGGACACAACAAGGCGAATGTTTAGGCAACTGGGCCAGAATATGTTAACAGGCTAGCGGAGGAAAAATTCCGAATCGGGGAATCGAACCCCGGGCTGCCGCGGCCCACATTACGCTCGCAGCTGCTCACTTGGACACTTCGTCTTTCCCAAACTCTAGGTCCATTCGGAGCAAAACCTTGCTGAGGAACGATTGACTCGAGCTCGGAGTATAAGCATTCGTGTTCTGGAGAATGACCCCGCTCCCGTTAGTCGACAAGCCAAGCCTGAACGTTTTGGAACTTGACTGAACCGGATCGACTTTCGAGCACGAAAAAAAATCACAACAGGTGTGGTGTGAGGGAGGAATGCATTGGCCGCCACTAGAAGAGACTCCAGTCAGCCGCAGACGCCCAGTGCCAGTTCCGAATTGGTGCAGGGGTTAAGATTGCCGCCCCTTGATCGCCCCGAATTGGTGTAGGGGTCAAAATTTCTGAACAATTGGAACCTCATTTGGGGAACTTTGAGGGACATAGAAGTAGGATACTGAGCAGGCAAGTTATCTTGTCAATGCGGTCTTCAATCGAGTGAATCAGGCCCAGTGAGGAGAGCCAATTGGAACTTGAACGCTTGAACACTGACCGGATGAATTGTTGAGTTTTGGCAAATTCTGCATGGCCACGGCAACGCTTGACGCAACTGTTCGAGCACTGGTACAGTAAGCTCACCGCGTCCCGGCCCGTAATCGCAGGCGAGCAGTTGACTCGGTTAAATATCTACTAGTTGTTTGCCCAAGCTTGACCCTCAACAAAGATCGTTCAAGCGGGAGTTGTGGGTAACTCCTGCTCAAGGGGAAGCTTCCTGGGTATACTATGTATGCGAGCTGTATTTGAACACAAACTGGGCCACTTGGCTCTGATCTCAATAAGATATAGGGGCGGAATGATCGTGTTGAAAATATTCATGTTTAGGAAGTTAAATATTGTTCCGGAAGGAATGCCGGCCTCCCTGGGTAACAGACACTTGGGGACCGCCTCATGTGGGTCATTAGCAGACAGACTAGGCACAAAATGAAAGACCAGGGAATAGTGTAAGCCCAAGGCAAGCGGAGCAAAATTCCGAATCGGGGAATCGAACCCCGGGCTGCCGCGTGCTAGATTACACCATTACGGATCTCCGCTGAGAGGCGGCAATGTTAACCCCTACACCAATTCGGACATGTACTGTCAGCTATGACAATGGTACAGGTCGGGAAATGATGGCAGGAGCAAGTTCTTTGAAGAGAAACGAATGAGGCGTTGTCGAGTTAGAAAACGAGTGGAGATTAGGCTAAGTGAAGCGGGGTCGAGATGGTTCCGAGTATGTCTGAACATGCCGGTGAACACGATGGAGCACCAGGATTAGGGCAAGGGTGTAGATGGTTTTGAAAGAGGCAAAGTAGAGTGTTTCGGGACAGTTGAATGCCCGACATCAGCCAGTAAGTCTGCTTTGATCCACGAAAGTTGTGCTGGGCAAGCGACAAGCTGGTTGAAGATAATCGCAGTCTTCGAGCTTCCAAAAGACCGAGAACTTTGGATGTCAACTGCTTTCAATTGAGTCGGGTCTCTGTGACCTGACCTGGTTGAAGGCAGCGGGGATCTTGGACAGCCATTCAGCTGCCAGGTTGGATAGCTTAACTCTTTCGAGTTTGTAGGGGAGAGTGAGAATCAAATGTCTCATTGTTGAATTGGAGCTCAGTTGAACTGTGGGATAGCAGAGTGATGCCATCACTAGGTCGTTTATTCACTTTTCACTGATCAGGAGGTGGGCGGTCTGAGCGGTACATGGTGGAGGATCTAGTGGTGAAGAATGTCATGGCTCGAAAGACCAAGCTGAGCCCAAGTTGCGAACACAGCGTGGCGGACCGGAGGTACATACACGCCTAAGCTGTGGCTGGCACCAGCCAATTGACCCCGGGCGACGGGCAGAAATATGTTATGCCGTGCCTGTAATAGATATGTTGACCCCTACACCAATTCTGAGGCACATGATAGTTGCTGGCATCGAAATCCTCTGAGAGCAAATGAAATAGAGGAATGTAGCCTTGCGGGTTTTTCGACATCCGATTCTAGGTGCAAAGACCCCTGCCTTGTTTTGCACAGATAAACATGTCTTGGTTGAAATCAAATCCTCGTAGTTCAATCGGAAATACTTGGTGATACCACCCAGAGTGATGGGAGGTTTGTCTACATGGAGGTGTCTTAGTTGAACGTTGAACCAAATGACTCGTGGTCAGGTCGGAATACTCAGTGGCCAACTTGGTTGAGGTCCACATTCACATTCAGTCAGCGCAAGTTCTTGGTTGAAATTGGCCTGACTGTTGCATCTATGTAAATTGGATTAGATTAAGCTGGGCGACGTCCCGTGGTGTGAGCCTTGTGCAGGCAGACATTTATCACTGTATAGTGTTGTGCGGGATATCAATCCCGCAGGAAGGGGAAGTTCACGCTCCCCGGGGCCCGTACTCTTGATTGCATAGTTCCGCTATCCCAACTAGCTGTTGCTGCATGTGAGCAGCTTATACCTTATGTGGGCTATGTATGTGGGTTATGTATGTAGTGGGAACGCCGACGTTGAACACCGTCTTTTTGAAAGTTGAACCGTGGGACATTCGGAAGCAGTGTGATGCCATCAGTATGGTTCTTGCTCCCAACGGTGCTTGAAGTATCCAACGAACGTTCATCGCGGGCGGTCAGCGCTCTACGTCTAGATGTGGAGACAGCGTGGCTCACTCATCCGACTTGACTTGCGGCACGGAGCGGTGAGCCAACAGTTTCTCGAATTCCATCAGCCCTCCAAAGTAACAGTCCTTGAACGGCTCAACGGCACGGGTCACACTGAGAGGCTAGGAGAGGCTACCACAGTATTGGGATAAGGAACGGATGTTGAGGGGTTCCTGTTGAACTACACGAGGCTCTGGCACGGTATGCCGAAGAGTTGACAGAAACCTAGTGGAACCTAAAGGACTTGTTCCCGAATGTGCCAAGCCGGCTCGGTTACACGCTCCGTCTTCAATTCGGGACGTTCGAGGCCGCGTTTCATTAATCGGAATGACGGAATCGTTTGCAGCAACCTGAGGGAGGATAGAACGATGGTGAGCGCGATTAGGGCAGACTTGAGCAGTCACAACTCACAACATCAAATTGGACGGGAAAATTTCCATTCACGCAGCATACGAGAAGGACGCGGCCACAAGCGCCATAGAAAGGTCGCGCCTGAGATTAGGACACTTGTCGGGAGAAGATAGTCACCAGCAGACGTCGGCAAGTCGGTAGAAACATGCAGCGAACGTCGATAACTCGGTGTTATTCTGCCGGAAAATGAACGCACATGTGTTTCTGCGAGGGGGACGGAACATGGAAGCGTTAATCGGCGTCGAGATCAGCTTCTCCGTGTGCAATTGGGGCGCGGAATTTCTCCTTCTGGCCAGATACGACCGCGTGCACGCGAGATAATCGCAATCTGATAAAGACGCCATCAGCCCGGCTGCAAACTCCCGACGCGAAATTTGTCTGCATTGCAGTCGAGATGCAGCGACCTTGCCCCCTTGGAAGCGGCATAGTGCCCACCACGCCTGTCAATATCCGGCGTGCTCGGTGCATCGTGGTTCGATTTTTTTCCGTGCCATATAAAGGTCGGGGATCTGCAATGATTAGCCGCCGCGCTCTCGTCCCCTCGCAAAAATGGAGTCCAACCTCACCAACATCCTCCTCGCTCTGGAGACGCGCGCGAAAGCGAAGGCGGTCAACCCCGACAAAGCCCCAAGCCAGCAACGCATCACCGACTACCCACTCCAGATCTGGTACCTCATCCTCAGCTTCCTCGCCTTGGTGTCGATATGCCACTTCGCCGCGCGCCTCCTGGCGCGGAGGTCCGTGTCTGCATCCGCACGCGGCCCGCGGAGGCTCAGCCGCCTCCCCCTTGCCGCCGCGCACGTCTTCCGTACCGTCGCCTTCCGCACGACAGCCTCCTTCGCCGGCTACACCCTCAACCTCGCCGAGTTCTTCCTCGCATGCGCGTACATCGCCGTCATCTTCACCTGGGCTCTGATCAACTGTGAGTTGCTATACCCACCTCTCTTATCCGCTGCTGACGAGGGCAATTAGCCACCGACCTGGAGGGCAATCGCTTCTCACCGAGGTATTACGCCGACCGCTCGGGCTTGATCGTCGCGACCCAGTTCCCCCTCCTCATTGCGCTGGGGATGAAGAACAATATCATCTCGTGTGAGTCTTCCGTCGTTGGTATTCACTCGGCGACGACTGACGCCGGTGTAGTCCTGACGGGTATCAGCTATGACAAGGTATGCCGTCGTACATACTCGTTTTCAACACCAGTCCTGATATCTTTCGTGTTCGTCCAGCTGAATATCCTGCATCGCGTCGTCGCGCGGGTAATTTGCGTCCTGATATACGTGCACGCGGGCGGTCGGGTCAGTTTTCATTGTTCAATGCATCTATCCCCCTCTCAACACGCGCACTCACCTTCCTCTCTCGCATCCGATAGCTAACGCAAGTGTGAGTGCATGGATTTACGATTTTTCTCGCGGGTATGACTGACCTCGAATCACAGTGGCAAGGCCGAGGCGACAGAGGACCTGGGCACGGCGTGGTTCCGCGCCGCCACCCTCCTCTCCTTCCTGTCCATCAAGCCGCTGAGAAAACGCAGCTACGAGGCTTTCCTCGTCGCGCACTTCTTCGTCGGGCTGTGAGTCTCACCTTCCCATGCATAATTCAACACTGACCGACGTGGAATCCAGGATCCTCCTCGTCGGCTCGTACATGCACGCTAAACGCGATACGTGAGTCCCCTTCCGCTATCGAGCTAAATGAGTAACGACTCACCCGGTTGGCCACAGCGTAACGCACTATGTCTGGCCCTCCTTCGTTATCTGGGGGCTCGATCGCCTCCTGCGCTACCTCCGTATCTTCGTTGCCAACGGCGGCTACCTCCACCTCCTCTTCCTCCGCAAGAAAAACTTGAACCAGTCGGACGCCCCCCTCCATGCGCACGTCACCGTCGTGTCGCCGCACCTCCTGCGCGTGTCCGTGCGCGGGCTCCCCGTGCGCGTGCGCTGGGCACCCGGGCAGGTTGCGTTCCTCGCGCTCCCCGCCGTGAGTCGGACGCCGTGGGAGGCGCATCCGTTCACGATCGCGAATGTCGACCCCGCGCGCTTCTCGCGTGCTCCTGGCGCTGCGTCGTTAAACAGCACATCGGAGGAGAACAGGTTTGGGGATGAGAAGGACGGTAGAAGCAAGAGTAATGGAGGCAAAGAGCTGACCTTCCTCGTGCGCGTTCGGGGTGGGTTCACGCGGCGCCTCCTCGACGCGGCTACTGCCCACGTGAAGGACGCGGGGGACGGGGAGGAGGGTGGGTTCCCAGCGCTCATCGACGGACCGTACTGCGCCCCGCCGTCGATGGCGGGGTTCGCGACCGTGGTGCTCTTCGCAGGTACGGCTTTGAGCAACTTTCCGATCGCCAGCTGAATAAATCGACCTCACCGTACGCAGGCGGATCCGGCGTGTCTTTCACACTACCCTTGCTTCTTGATTTGATTCGGTGCGCATTCCTGTATCTCTTCCTCCGTGTCTATCGTCTCGTGCTGAGTGAAAAATTCGAGCAGAGAATCCAAAACAAACACCAACCCATCATGCAAGAAAGTCGTCTTCGTATGGGCCATCCGCGACCCCGGTGCGTCGCCTGCCACAACTATCACGTCCTACGGCTCACCTCCTCACAGAAGAGAGCGCCGTCGTCTCCGACGCGATTTCCATCGCCCTCGGGACATCCACGTCCGAAATCGGGCTCGAGGTCGACATCCGCATCCACGTCACCTCTTCTATCGAGGATACCGACGGCGATGCAGCGAGCGAAGAGACCGACGTCGAGAAAGACCCCGCGGGGTACGCAGGCAAGGAACTGCCTTACGGGGGGCGCCTGCTGTCGGGCCGCCCGGATGTCGATGCGATCGTGAGTGGGGAGGTGCAGGCGGCGACGGGTGCGGTGTTCGTTGGCGGTGCGTCTTCTCGTCTCTCTTCCCCAAAATCGAGAGCGATTGCTGATTGATTTGCGATATAGTTTGTGGGACGCAGGGTTTGGCGAAGCATGTGCGGCGTGCGGTGCGTGCGGGGAGCAGTGGGGCGGATGTGCTGCGCGGTGGGGCACCGGTGAGCTTGCA